GATTTTATGGTGAGGATGAGAGTAAAAGTACGAAGGGTGATGCCGTGCAGTTTATATTGATTCGTATGGTGAGGACGAGAGCAAAAGCACGAAGGGTGATGTCGTGCACTTGTCCTTGATTTTTCTTAATTCTAATTAAGTTATGTTGTCCTTTACATTTATTTACTGATTTTCTATTGTTACTTGATTTTATTTCGATGTTATAGATTCTCTTACCCTTATTTCTTGTGATTGTTGCTTGGGTGATGAAGAGTGTAGAGCACGAAGGGTGATGCCGTGTATTATTTTGGTGAGAGAGTGTTAAAGCACGAAGGATATTACCGTGCACTTTCTGTTTGCTATTTTTACTTGTTATTAACAATTCAAGTGTATTAACTGTTTAGATCCCTTTACTGTTGTGATCCTTTGTGTTGGAATCCATAGTGTTTACAATATCTCGCCTTATTTTTTTTTATATGTTCAATACTTCAAATTTCAGAATTTGTTACATTTTTAACTCAATTGATTTCTCAATTAAATTTTCCTTAAACCGTTTGAGGTTGTACTTTACTTAAAAAGGAATTTCTACTATGTTTTGATTTATTGATTTCTCGTATTAAAGGTAATGATTCATTCGATATTGTACTTTAATTGAAAATGGTATTTTCTTTATCAAATGATTTCTAAAAATAACTGCATGTTTTCTTGTTGATTTCCTAATTGGGTTTGAAGCTGTACTCTACTTTATGTTAAGTGAATGAGGCTTTTTGAACATTCTTAATTGTATTGGGTTTATGGAAACTATGAACTGAGTAACATGAGGATATTGTTGCGCAATGTGAGGCAAAAATATGTGGGCACAAGGTGACCTTTACTCAAAAGAATTATATTCGAAAGATGCTTATCTGAAAGATATTTATTTAAAGGAAATATATTCAAAATATATTCATTGAAAAGCATATTTCCTTAGAGATTTATATTTGAAGGACTTGATTAATTCATTGCACTTGTATTTATTAATTGTTGGGGAACATTTATGGTATTCTTGTTGCCTGCTTTTTATATCATTTGTTGATCATTGCTGCCATCATTGTTATCTGCTTCCTATTATTTTGTATGCTATATTGCACAGGTTTATTTGGTAGTCTGGTCCTAGCCTCGTCACTACTTCCCCGATGTTAGGCTAGACACTTACCAGCACATGGGGTCGGTTGTGCTGATATTATACTTTGCACTCTTTTGTGCAGATCTCAGTGTTGTAGACTTCGGACCACAGCGAGATTGTTGTTTCTTGTTCATCAGGCGACCCGACGTAGTCCTTCAGACGTCTGCAGGCCTTGGCGTCTCCTTCTATCTATTATTCCTGTTTCCTTTATGTATCTCCAGAGACAGTGTTGTATTTATTTCTTTCAGACCTTTATTTGTAGTACTCCTAGACAGTCTGTGAAGTTGTGACACCAGTCTTGGGTAGATTTATTATGGATTGGTATTAGCAGATTATTAAAACTTTAAAATGCAGCCTTCCGCTTATTCAATTCTGTTGTTATCTGATTGTTCGCTCTTAACTGTTATCAGATTAAAAATGGAAACAAGGTAGATAGTTCAGTTGGTTGGCTTGCCTAGCTTTCACTAGTAGGCGTCATCACGACTCCCGAGGGCGGAAAATCCGGATCGTGACAGTTACCCCTATATATATAGAGACACACACATAACATTACTTTTAATTTTCGAGGATTTAGTGGCATTAGGTTTAATTATTTTATTCCCATTACATTATGCTTAAATTTATATTATAAACTTCTTAATTGAATTATGATGAACTGGATTATAACACCATTCGATTACTATTGAATTGTTCGAGAAAAGAAAAGATTGCTATTAATCTGAATATTCATGTTGTAGGAACTTGTTATTACTTCTTGAATTTAAATAGGAATATTTGAGAAAAGTTTAAAGGATGAAAATATTCTTTTAGTACAACAACAACAACAAACTCAATGGTCAATTTTATTCATCGCTCCTCAAGATTTCACAACTATAGTCACTTGGTGACTCGAACTCGCAATGTTGAAATTGAAGGTGGAGAATGCTTAGCACTTGAGCACCCCTCTTTTGTCTCCGGTAATCAACTAATATACATTTCCTTGACTATTCTCCAAAAACAAACAACCATCTAGAAATTAAAGCAATTAGAATAACTTTTTCTCATTCTTATTTATTCCTTGCAATTCTTCCATTCATTTCTTTCTATTGAGTTGTATACTTGTGGTCAAAAGAATTTAACAGTGCAACTATGATACCAACAACTAAAGTTATAATCATCACGGAGCAACCCCAAAAGAGAATATACACCAAAAACATTATATACTTAAACATATTATATCTGTTACAAGCATATTTAATATTTGTACGTTATATGACAAATTAATATAATCATAAAAGAATATATTTAACTAACTTAACTAAAATGATCAATATTAAGATCAACATGACATTTAAGATCAATTAAAAATTCATATAGTATATATTACATTAGATCAATATAACAGAACTAGAAATTACGACTTAAAGGAATTTCACATGTTAAACTATCTATTCTAATCTTCTGACGATAAACGTGATATCACTTAATTAATTTTTGTCAATATTATATTAGTATTAAATTCATTGCTTGACATTGCACGTGAGAAGAAATTAGTATTATTAAAAAATATGAATCATATTAAAGTAAGATTTAATTTATTTGAGCATGTTGGTCATTACGTTTCAACAAAATGATAATTGTCATCTTATTTTTATGTGTGTTCCCAATAATAAAAACTATGTATAATTAAATTAAATGAATCATATAATTATTGAATAACTTTTAGATGAAACTAAAATATCATAATTATATAATTTTTGCTACAAACAATCTGAAAATATAACACGATTCAAAACTAATAAAAATACATTAAATGAATCTAAAAACTTCTATATTTATTATTTTTCTAGCTTCATTTCTTATTTATTCATCATCATTTATAAAATTTCCAATCCCTTCCTGCTTGTAGCCTGTGATATAGATTATAAAGTGGTACATCTGTAATATATTTATTTGAAAATAGTCCACTATGAGACAATGCTTCGTCCAGAATTTTAATAATGATAAAATAGGAGTGGGAAGAAAGGTTAAGTAGTTTGCGGCCCTTTTTACCTCGGATACCTCAGGAAAATGCAAGCACTAGCTCTGACATCATGATAATATGCGAAATCACAAGTAATTTAGGGCAGAAAATGAGAAATCACTAGTAAATTGCTTGCTTGAAGATGTTTGATTGTTTGGTCCCCTTAATAATGCTTAAAAAAAAATAAACCAACATTACATGACTAGTCCTAATAAAGCTGTAGAAGCACAATGAATGAAAATGATGTAAACTAGCCTATAATTACAATGAAAAGGACTTAGTTTATTACAAGGTAGAACTATGTTCGATGGCAACAACTTTATCTTGCGGGTCAGGGTCTGCGCACGCGTTGCTGTGGGCGCGCGCGGCACTTGCTGTGTTGGCCTGAGGCTGGGCGCTGGTGCTTGGCATCAGGGTCNAAAGGTCAATGCTCATCAGACTGTCGAGGATGAGTCAGACGCATCAGACACATCAGAAGAAGACTAGGTAGGCGCCTTCAATGCAATTGCTGGCTCTATCTTGCATGCCTTAGCGAGGACCAGTGCATGTCCTCCTAAGAGAATCTCAGTCTCAATCACCAAGAAAGGGAAGGAAAAGATGGACGAGAGACCTCCTAAACAAGCGAGGACCCTAATGTTCGTCGAATTGAAAGTGAACGGCAAGCCCCTTCACGCATTGATAGACACGGGTGCCACCCACAACTACTTGTCGTCAACTCAAGTAGAGCGCCTGGGTCTTAATGTGAAAAAGAGCAAAGGCCGCGTCAAGGCTATCAACTCACCACCCCAGACATTGGGTAAAACGGCTACAAATGTCCTAGTGAAACTTGACCCATACAAAGGAAGCATCGACCTGCGCATCACAATCATAGATGACTTCGACATCATAGTGGGTTTGGAGTTCATGAGGCAAACCAACACCATACCGGTACCATATACCAACATGCTCCTGACGATGGGAGGAAATGGGGTCAAGCCCTGCACCATACCATGCTTTCCCATAAAGATGGTCGCTGAAAACATCTCGGCCATGTCTTAATGCGGACTCGCGAGGCTATTATTTTTTCCATGCAAATCATGAATAGCATATTACAGAGAAAATTGAAAGACGAAAATTATCAAAACACAAGATATCTAAATACTGCAAAAGGAAAGGAAAAAAACAAAGCTGAAAAAGGAAAAAAAAAATATCTAAGTTAAGCCAAATTGTTATCCTTTCTTTAGATTGCTATCATCATTATTATATATAATTTGTACATATAGAAATAAAATTTGAAATTAGAAGTACTTAATTCCAGTCCAGTTTTAACTTGTATAGCCAGACAAACTTAAACACGACTTGTGGAAAAGCCACTTAATTAAACATTGATAGCGTCCCCTGACGGTTGTCCACTATTTAATTTCTAAATTTCAACGACAAATTAAACTATTGAGAGATTCAAAGTAGTAACAAACAAACCACATTAGAGATTAACTGAAAATATACATTAATATTTAATTAGAAAGAAAAGTTGAGCATGTCCTTGCTTAAGCTTTCCATCATCTCTGCAGTCTCACATCCACAACTGGTGGCTGTGAACTTGTTATGGCTGGTGTCAATATTATGGAGCTTGAGTGGGCAAGTGGAAGAGATAGGCAAAAGTGGAATATTCTCACAGTTACATATTTCAATCATGTAGCCATCTGGGTCATGGAAAAACACCTGATCTACCTTTATGCCATTATCCTCTACCACTGCACTCACATATCTCATTCCCATTTCCTCCAACCTTCTCTTCACCACCTCAACATCAGTGCACTGTTTGGTTACATATATAGTGCGTTAAGAATTAATACTAATGAAACAAGCACTTCAAATTAAAGTGTATTTGAAATGTTACGTTATGTCTGATATTTGAACATGCGACCTAAAGCAATTTTCGAATCCCCTTTATTACTGTACTAGAGTTTTTCACATGTCAAGGAAATTCAACAACCTATATATAACCAAGAAACTAGGTTTAATTAGCCCTATTTGCACGATAAGGGGATTCAATTGAACCGCCTCTCCCCAAACTAGCTCGATCTTATTACACTGTTTGCATCATTTATGAATGAAATTAAAATTAAGTTTATAATTTACCTGGAAGGAAATGTGGTTATCCTTGGGATTAATGGGTCGAGGTTCATTGATGGCATCGTAATCCTCCATAGCTACGTTCTCAAGCAAGTGAATCCCAACTCCATAGTTGTACAACCTTTTAAACGTTAAACAAAACAGCTGAGGTACCTAAATATACTACTCGATCATGCTTATTAAAGAACTTTATTGTTATAGTATTGAGGTAATTATTATTGCTGTTGCATGTTGTAATATGGACGTGCTTTATTCTCCCATGATAAAAGAATAATGGTATGAATGGGCGCATAGCAAGATTATTTTTTACATTGGCCTAGAAGAATAATGTACATAAAACACTAGACATCAATGCATGAAATATAAGGAGTGAATCTTAGGTGAAAATAGAAAGAGGGTATATAGAGGCTAACCAGGCACCATGGAAATTGAAAGAAGAAGGGCGTTTAACAAGACAAAAGCCCAAGACATCTTCATAAAAGCGTACAGAATTCCAGACATCTCTCACCAACAAAGACACATGGTTGAGTGAAAGCAGAGGCAGTGCTTGGTAGCTGCTCATGACTTCCTCAATATCCACTATCATCTTGGATATGTTGTGTTTTATAGATGTTTTCTTTCTTACTATATTCTTAATTACTTGATGTGTTGTGGGTAATTAAGTCTAGATAGGGAGATTGGCTTATTTATAACAGCAGAGAGATCCTTTGATATACTTATAATAACTTGCAAGTGATTGTGTGTGAACTTTCCGAGAAAGTTCTTATCATGGAGTATAGGACAAGGATGTACCATGCATTAGGAAGCAACCTATTTTCATTTTGCCTCACCAAAGCACCAACCCCCAACTGTACCAAAATATTCTAGCCTGATTGCACGCGTCACATATATTTCACGTGTATTAAAAGGAGCAGAAATACTTGTGCAATAATCTGGCCATGACAAAAATACGGGGTCCTTACACAATTAGATGGTGCAAAGACTTCACTTTGTCTGATAATTAACAATATATATGTAGATTTATAGAATTCTAGCTTTTCTCGTCTTTACTGCAGAGTCTTCAGTGTGTTAATTTACATGGCCGCAGTAACCATCAACAAAGATTGAATGATTAAAATTAAATCAAACAGAAAAGATTATATGTTAAACATTGTTTACCCGTAAAACGGTACAATTGAATTTATAACGTGGTTTATAGACAAGCGAATCGATTTCACCCAAAAATAATAAGTAAATGAGAACAAAGATAGGGTTATCAAATGAAATTAAAGGAGATAACAAGTCTGACTAAGAACTTAGTCTTTCCGAGGACAAGAGTAGTGAATACAATGTTCAAGTGTTCAAATTGAGCGTAATAAGACAATAGATTATAGCTTTTTGTGTACCTAGTTTCTTGTCCTTACAATGGACGTTAATCCCCCTATTTATAGCTTGATTCAGGGAGACAAGATCCTCGAATCAAGCTCCTCTTGAATGAGAATAAAATTTTGATTGACGGGAGCATAACGGTTGGCTATAAATGGAGATTCTCTGTAATGGTTGCCCATTGAATATTACCCGATGACAATGCTTTGAATCTTTGTTACCGGTTGCTCTGTCTTCGGGATCTTTTCAGAAATGACTGCACGCTTCATCCGGTGCCAGTTGTTTGCTCACTCACACCGCACCAGTCTTTAGTTCCACGTATCACTCCGTCATTCGCCCAGCTGTCATAACCAATTTCATCCCATTCAAACATAATGAGCGAGTAAAGATCAAAATATCATAGTGAACTGAACCTTACTCATGTATCTTGTTACTGTACGTTGTTGCAAGTACGTCAATCGCAAATGGACAAAAGTACAAAAGCAAAACAAAGAAGACGAAGCAGAAAGAAGAGAACATGCTTAGATATTGGTTTTTCTACAACAATATTGATTCTGTTTCTCAGAGAAGAGGGGTTGCTCTAATGGTAAGCAACATTCACTTCCAACCAAGAGGTTGTGAGTTCGAGTCACCCCAAGAGCAAGATGAGGAGTTCTTAGAGGGAAGGATGTCGAGGGTCTATTTTGAAAACGATCCCTCTACCCAGAGTAGGGGTAAGGTCCGCGTAACCTTGGTTGCGCAAGGAGTGTTAGTGCTCCACATAAATTGAGGAAATGAACTCATGTAATCTCTTTATAGTAATCAATAACGCATGCATGGTAAATTCAGACGTCTTGATGTCAATGGAGACAATATATGCAAAGAAGAAGAATAGAAGGCAAACAAAAAGGTTTACTCAAAGTTTTTGAACGTCTACAACCTTAAAGTTGACCACAATTTAAGTGTAATGTGACGCGTTCGAATTCCAATATAGTACGTAATTATTTTTATTAATGCAACTTAGTTGTATTGCTTACCACTCTATTTCACTATTCGAAAATATGTAGCAGTAGGGGGAGGCTGGCGGCACCGCCAGCTCTAACGATTTCAAGATAATAATGTTATACGACCGAAAATAGCCCATTAAATTTCTTCAGCTAAAGAAAGGTCCATTTTCCATAATTTACTCCACACAATTATGAAATACAATAACAGGCGACCTAGTAGAGAATTTAACAGCTCCTTTCCGGTTCAGGAGTTTTTATTTTTTAATAATATTTTTGTTACTTGAATTATACACAATTTGACCTTATATAATTCTATTTTGTTTCAAATTATATACATAAAGCTACAATTTCACGTTTTTATTATTAAAACTTTATTGTTCGAGCAGCATCTACAAAATTAAGGATTTATTGGTTCTCTTTCTTTGAGTAAAATATGTTTATATTAGTGTTAAATTTTCTATTCACGTATTTATGTTAATACTTGATTTTTGCATTCATTTATTTGAATCAGTAGTTAAATTTTGCATTTATACTCAATCAATGAATCTTAGTTGAACATGGCATTCACCGTATTGCATTAGACTTTATGCTTCGACCTTTTGTCAAACTATTTTTTCTATTATTTTTTCATGCTCGCATATAATAAAATATTATAATATACTTGATGCGTATATAAATGCAATAAATATATAATAAAACTAGTAAAAACTGATGTCCTGCTATTCGAAATTAAGCATAAAAGTGGTTAAGCTAATGCAAATCCACTTGATTGTGCTAATTAGTACTAGAAAATGGAGTAACGAAAATAAAGAAATCAAAGTTTTCATCATAAAAAAATTAGAAGGATAAGAATATTTGAGTTTGAAATTAAAATTTATTTCATTTTAATTATGATTCAAAAAAGTCATATTTTGAATAAGATCACATAACTGAACTCTATTAAATAAATAAAACTATAAATTAAAAATATTTATAATAAAAATTAAAATAGAAGTATAGTGATGTTATTTAACTTTGAATTAGTTTAGGAAACAAAAGAAAATAAATAAATAAATAAATCTTAAGAATATTATTGATAAATTTAAAATTCTTTGTTATTCTTAAAGATAGTCTATACCTATCATAAAAGGAGGATAATAGGCTTGAATATTATGCAAAATAGCGCATCAAAAAAAAATCACATGGTTGTATGTGGACAAAGTTAATGAGCATTATATTGAACAAAACTTTTGAATTGAATGTGGTTAAGTTTTTCTATTTTAATTGAAGGATGTGGTTAATTTAAGTGATGGAATATAAGATGATTCTTGAAAATGCAATTCAATTTAGAATAAAACTTATTTGAGAGATGCACAAGTTTCTTAAATTATGGTAGGAAATGTCATAATTAATGTGTATAAGATCACGTAATTAAAGTCATAATATATAAAGTCGAAAATCAAAAAGGGATTTTTTTCCTTCCTATACAATATAAAACTTATTTATCAAATTGTACAAATATTGCATATTACCCGTGTCACGACCCAAAGTCCATTACAGGTCGTGATGGCGCCTAACACCGCTGTCAGGCAAGCCAACAATAATTAATCAACTTAATTACTCATTTTAGTATTTTGAAATCATAATTTCCTTACTTTTAAACAGTAAAAGATAGAACTTACAGAGTAAAAAATAATATGTTCGCAACTAAAATACTGACAACCCATAATCATTCCCAAAACCTGGTGTCACAAGTGCATGAGTATCAACTAGGAAATAAAATAAATATAGTATCTGTCCAGAATACAAGTTAGACAGGAAAATATAAATAACTCTGAAGGAGACTCTGTTGGCTGCGGATTGTAATATGGAATGTAGCTCACCTAAGTCCCTGCATTAACCATGCCTCTGCGCCCACAAGGCCATTAGACATATATGTACCTGCACAAAAATATGCAGTAAATTTAGTATGAGTACGTAAATCAATGCATACCCAGTAAATATCCTGTCTAACCTAAAAAAAGTAGTGATGAGGGGTCGACTCCGACATGTACTAAGGCTATCAATAAAATACCGATGATATAGTTAAGCATGGATTGTATAGAATGGTTGTAAACCCAATATCATGAAGTAAGTAAACATTAATTTGTTAATAAGAAATTTTCAAATTTATTTTCGTCATTTAGCAATTTATATCTCAAGCCAATGAAGCAATATCAAGTATTATTAATTCCAAAGCAACCAATTAAATCATGTTGAGACCGTATGACCCAATCCAACATAAATATTTAAATTGTGTACCGCCGAGGGTCGAATAGCACGAATCATAGATGTATCCATCTGCTATCGAGGCATTCGGCCTGCTCCAAAAAAGAGAAAATACATCTAAAACAACTAATTCAAGATTTATTAAGCGGCAATTATTCAAGGGAATACCAATTCTCATTAACAGTCAAGAAAAATGAAGTTTAACCTTTTAAAATTCTTTTCCCAGGTTTCGATATGATTTAAGCAATTAAATTAATAAATAGGTTGCAAATATCGCAGGTATACATGATTTGGGTCCTAGACTACCCGAACATAAGCCTAATAGTAGCGACGCACGGACTCTCGTGATCTCGTGCATGCGTAACCCCTACAAATAGAAGCACATATTAAATCAATTCACCTATGGGGTTAATTCCCTCTTACAAGGTTAGAAAAGAGACAATTACCTTGCTCTGAAATTCCATAACCGGCTCCCAAGCCCTTCTAACAACTCAAACTGATGCCCAACGTTCCAAAATAGTCAATAAATGTACAAACCCATAAATATATATTCTACTACTCATTATAATCCAATTTATAACAATTCTTAACTCCGCTCGAAAAGTCGATAAAAATCACCATCCGGCTCACGTGCCCGGATTTCAAAAAAAATTGAAGAAAAACTTTACCCATAGCACCACAAACTCAAATATATAGTTTATTCCAAATTTCATGTCCAATTTCGTGGTCAAAATTCATAAATACCAATTTCTAGGTTTTTCTTCAAAATCCCAAATTTCTACAAATTTTTCATGAATTTCTATGTTAAAATCAATGTATAATCCATATATTTAACTCACATTACACGGGAAATCACTTAGCTCTTGATGTCGATGGAACCCTTCCCAAAATGCTCTAAAACAACGCCTAAGTTCAAGTGAAAAATGAGTTAAGTCTCGGAATACAAACCCTTGCTCTAGTCGCAGATGTCGCATTTGCGACAAGGGGGTTCACAAATGTGACCTCCGCAAATGCGGACAAAGCATCGCAAAAGCGACCCCTAACAGGCCAGGCCTTCATCGCAAATGCG